CACACACAGGCACTACGGCACAGCTACTAAACTACATTGGGCACGGTTCCTTTGTCCCCGGCATCATTTAATTGACAAATGAGCGAGACGAGCATTGTGTGTGCAGCTGACAGTGGACTTTTTTGTAATGTAACGACATGGCAATGTTTGAGGTGTACACAGGGACATCTGCCTCCAGTCTGGCTTCAGAGAGGGGCATTATGGGAAGGTTAGCCAGGGCAAGGCTGAGTGAGCAGTCACAATGATATATTCAGAAATAGCAAGTGTAACGTTTGCATTCATTTGAATTGATACAGCTGTGACAGTCAAACATTGAGCGAGAGTTAGCCACTTTGATAGCCACAAATCTGTTGCTGAGTAGTTGCTAGGGAATTATGGGTGGTCGCTAACAAGTCTTAAAGGGATAGTGATCCAAAAAGTGAAAATTCTGTTATCATTGACACCCTAGTGGTCTTTCCAAAACATTATACAAAGCACAGTGGGTTAACACTAAACAACACAAACATACACACATGCACACACTAAATCAGCTCAATAACGGGCTGCTAATACACATGCACACAAGTTCACACATAACTATGAAAACAAATCACACTCACTATCTACAACTGTATAACAGACACTTTAAAACCCCCACACACCCTCGGATGTTTTCTCCATTCAGTCGGTCTGTGGTCGCTGGAAATGAAAGACACTTGTGCATGTTGGAAACTAAGAATTGTTTAACCCTTAGAGGCTTCAGGGACTCAAACTGAACCCACAGTTAACATACCTCATTCACCTATAGTAGTTTTTACTTTTTTATAATAATTTATAATTGTATTTTGAATAAGGCTTTAAAACATCAACAACAATTTCATTTTGCCCATCTAACTTATAAGATCCAAGACAGTTCTTGTAATTATTTGGCAGAAAAATCTATTCAGAATAGAATAGAATAGAATAGAATAGAATAGAATAGAATTCTGGCATGATTCTTTGGTGGATCATGCTAAACATATCTATCATCTTTTTCTTTGTGATTGATGAGGACATGTGAATTCCAGCACTGACATACTTGATTTGAGGGTGGAGGGGGTAACCTCTATCTCACTGCCCAGGTAGGGCTGCAGGACGCTGAGCTCAGGTTCTGAGGGGTCAGGGCTGGAGCGACCGGACGCCACACTCCCTCCGGGACTCAACATCGCCCTCTGTTGGAGCTCCATCTTCTCATACACAGCCTTCAGCTGAGGACAGCAAACACAAAGCAGATTAGAAAACAGAAAAAACATCATTAACTAACAAACAAGACATACAGCTAAAAATGTACACTGTATATACATATCATATCTATTTTACAGGACATCACAAGAGACACGCACAAAGCTGAAAACAAAGAGAACTGCAGGTCCCAATATGTGGGAATCGATCAAACTGTTTCCTTTTTTTGTTTTGTACAAAATCCATACCACAAATCATTTGCCCAACAAAAATTACAGTATCAAAATGGTTAACACTGAATATGACATCATTCCTCAAGCTCATTAATTTAAAAGTATATGCAAAATAAAAAAGGCACAAAGATTTGTTCAGTGGAAGGTAGAGTGGATGGTCAGTGCCACTGTACTACTGATAATTCATTCTCACTCAGAGCAAAGCTCTGAAATACACAGGCCAATATTAATAATAGATTTTCAAAAATTACTATGAATGTAATACTGGAAGAATAGATGCTGTTTCCTTTGGACGTATAGTATGAGAAATTCTAGATAAGTTACAGTGGCCCCAAAATGTTTTTGGACACTTCAGAGACACTAAAAAAACACCTGAATGTAAATAAACAAATAAATAAAAAAATAAAAAAATAAATAAAAAAATAATTAAGCTTCATTAACACTAAAAGTTTACAATACTTTTTTTTTTTCATAAAACAAAACATTACTTAAAATATGTATTATAAAGTACTTTATTTTATATAAAATGTAATTATTAATAATTAATAATATAACTTAAAATTTATACCAATCAAAAACAAAACATGTCTTGATGCTGGTAGTCCAATCGCATAATGAATCGGATGCTACTGCTGGTTCATTCGCCACACTGGAAAGGTCAAGTTGAGTGCATTGCATTGTGGGATGCAGTGCTCCCAGGAGTGTTTGCTGTTTACATGTTGGCAAATATAGGCAATCCTGTTTTTCCATGCAAACAAACTTATCAAACAGTGCACAGTACACATGCCACAAATATATTGCAAGGAGTATGTTAGTATGCTATACTGAAAAAATACACATGCTTATCTCTTGGTGAGAGATGTTATTATTCCAGCAGGTGCCTCAAATGGTCCGAAATGTAATAAGAAATTACTAACGAGTTAATATACACAGCCATCAGACAATAATTAGACACATTACACCGGCAACAGCTAATTGTCTATAGAACAGACTCTAATGTAACGGCTGAGAGCTTATGTGAAATGCATTGGTCGAGTAGCTTACAGCTTTTTTCCAAAACCAATTGTGATGATATAAACAAGACAGGCAGTATGATAAACAAATATAAAATGAAATTAAAAAATAAAACCCAAGCCGACAAGTGTCTGTGAGCACATGCGTTAAGCATCAATGGTCAAATTAGATGTGACAAGGGAATCAGAAGCTGTCAAACATAATGTCACGGTAGGGTTATGAGCTGAGAGGACGTCGATGGTAATGAGAGAGAATACGTTTGTGTGCGCTGTGGTCTCTGACCGTCTCCGATTGGCACGTTGACAAGCGGCCATAAAGCCGGGCCGTCTGATGAATTCATTCGCCAGCCACTAATGAATTAGCACTTCCCTTCTTTGCCCACACTCGCCTTTCCAATCACGTCAAAGGCCTGGCAGAGGAAACAACGGCTTAATGAAAGACAAAAAAACGCCAGGGAACATCAACCACGAGGGCAGGTAACACATACGGCAGGGTGAGACGGAAGCTCGATATGAAGTCATCTGCATCTGTGACTGCTTTTCAGGAAAACAATAACCGGTGACACGCGACAGGAATATGCATTATCAATCATGGGGAAATATTGTGCCGTGCACCCCAACCCGGTCTGCGTGATTCGATGGCCTGACATTTCTCGTGCTGAAAAATAAACAGAAATCGTCCAGATCAGATGGCAAAAGTGAGAGAGAGGGAAAAAGTAATCTTGGGGAATCACTTCTCCTCGGGTTTGATAGATGGCCGTCTCTCTCCGGTTCTTCCTCTAAGTGCTTCATACCTAATCAAACTCTATTTCTGGGCCTGAAGCGTGCGGGCTGGGATATTCATCAGCACAGTTGTGTGTATACATGCTGCACATTATTCCTGAAAGATCGTAGAGGTGTGTGACTCTTAAAAAAATGTGTGTCGATTTCAGCCAATCACAGAGCTGCAAACAGAACAAAACAACAATGAAAACTCCTTCCCTCATAAATAGCAGCCAGGCAGGTCACAGATGCCTCTCGTGAGGGCTGTAACACGGACACACTTTTCAATTCTACTGAGAGCCATTCATCAACGAAACAACCTCTGAGAGGATATGCAAATGTATCTGTATGTATTAAGGGAATATAGACTATTAGGGCTCAACAGAGTTGGTGACATTTCTCTATCTTAGGAAAGAGTTGCTGGCGGAGCCCAAAACTGTAAAAATACTGTTTGATTTTTCAATTTATGATTCAATTTCTACTGGGAAATGAACACAGCCATACACATTCATTGTGTTGTTTTCTGAGCACCCTGCCCGTAGCGTTGGGTTTTAAAGATAAGGTGCGTGCGATCATTAAATATTTGCTTGTTAAGTTGTTAACCTCTAAAGCTCACTTAAATTTGTCCTAGATCATTAGATGCGATGTTATGGTGCCTTGGAGGCCAGTCTGAAACTGGTTTCCTTACAAAAAAAAAAACAAAAAAAACACTGTCTGTTCAGTCATTGTTAAGTCAACGACTCAACCACATGAATGGAAACCTATTTCACCTCAGAGTCAAACATAAAAAAGGTAATTGAGGGGGGAAAAAATTCTAAATGGTCACATTGTTTTGTACATAAATGTATAACTGTGACATATAAAGTGACAGTTGTGAAAAAGAATGTCAATTTTGTGGCATTCAAAATATATTTGTTGCAAGTAAAGTTAAAATTATGAGATAAACAGTCAACCTTGTCAGATAAATTCTCATTGTGGCATATACAGTCACAATTGTAAGAATAAGTGACTTTTGTGACGTATAAAATCAAAATTGAGATATTAAGTAGTTGTGGAATATAGTTAAATGTAAAATATAAACTCATATTGTGGCACGATGTCAAAACTATGACAAATTATGACAAAGTCATAATAGTGAGTCAATTTTGTGGCATATAAAGAAATTTGAGATATAAAGACAAAATTGTGACGATAGAGTCCATTTTTTAGCATACAAAGTCAAAATTAAATATTAAGTTTAAAGGGGACATCAGATGCCCATTTTCCAAAAGTTATAAGGTATAATTCTTAGGGCCTTCATGAAATGTCTGTAACATACTTTGTTTAAAATTCCACAATGGTTGTGTAAAACAACACCCTTTTTACTTTGTCAAAAACAGCTCTGTTCACAGCGACCCATTTCTGTGCATGACTCTTTAAATGATAATGAGCTACTGCTCACCACACCCCTCTCTTCCATTTTTTGTGTATTCGGAGGCGCGTTACCATCAAAAATAAAACAAATCCACTGCGTCCTCAGTGGCTCTGATGTCGGGAGAAAATAAAGACTCTTATGTTTACTTTTACATCCAACCACAAAACATCTGCACTGCTTACGAGACGTTGTTGTCGCTACAACTGCTCAAGCGCGGAGAAAATGGCGGACAGCGTACAACTGCCTGAGGGCGGAAATATGCTAATACGGGACAGTCCGTCAGTGGTCGTGGGCGGGGCCTGAGCAATATGATGTCATACTGCTCAGAAAATCTAAACGACTTGATAATTGAGACGATTTAGGTTTTTGGGGTTAAAAAAAAAAAAAGGAGTGAATTGATTTTTATCATTGTAGGGTGGTTGTGTCCACACACTGCTAAAGACACATTTATGTAAACACCATGTAAAAGTGAATTTTGCATCCGATGTCCCCTTTAAATTTGTGAGAAATAAAGTCAAAATTGAGATAATGTCACACTGACATTAAGACATGATGTGACTATGAAACAGTTTGTGGAATATAGTCAAAATTGTGAGATATAAAGTTAAAAAGGTGTGAGATTTAGTTAAAATTGTGAGATTGTCACATCGTTGCATAAAAAGTCAAAACTGAGATGTAAAGTCACAATTGATAAGGCACAATTGTGAGATATAAGGCCACTTTTGTAGCATATAAATTCAAAATGTCACAATGTGCAAAATATAGTCAGTCATTATATAATGCCAAAACTGTGGCAAATAAAATTGAGATATAAAGTCACAATTAGATATAGTCACATTTTAAGTTAAATGTGAGATACAAATGGAAAGATGATAAACAGAGATGAACCAGTTGCCCAACCAATTATTGCAACTTCTTAAAGGGGTCATATGATGCGATTTCAATTTTTCCTTTCTCTTTGGAGTGTTACAAGCTCTTGGTGCATAAAGAAGATCTGTAAAGTTGCAAAGACTAAAGTCTCAAATCCAAAGAGATATTCTTTATAAAAGTTAAGAGTCAACCCCGCCTACCTAAAACAGCTCATTTTAACACACCCCCACATGTCTACGTCACGATGTGGGAAGATTTGCATAACGCCGCCCAAATGTTCACGCAAAGAAAGAAGGCGTAACTTTGATTCTCACTGTTGCCGCCACCGCCATGTTGTGTAGACGCTGTGTGCTTCGTTGTGAAAGCGAAACTACTTTGTTTGGCCTTCCAAAAGAGGACACAACTAGAAATCAGTGGTTAAGTTGTATTTAAAACACTGTTCCGAAACAGTTCAACCCAAATATTCAAATGTGCGCAGCGCATTTTACTCGTCATATGACCCCTTTAACTTCTCTGTTGGTACAAACTTTCTTCTCATTTGTGACAAAATCCCGTTAATTGATTTGCATTCAAGTTAGCAGCCATCTCGCCCTCTCTTCTCTCAGCTCAAACGCAGATATTGGCCCGAGGAAACATGATGTCAAACAATGCTGACTAATGTCACTTCCTCTTGTAATCCATTACCTGCTCCACCTGCATGCTAATGAGATACGGAGCCTGTTGCCATGCCAACC